CCCCCTGCATGGGCAGGGACACCTCCCACCAGCCCAGGCTGCTCCAAGCCCCATCCAACCTGCCCTTCAACACTGCCAGGGATGGGGCAGCCACAGCTTCCCTGGGCAACCTGGGCCAGGCTCTCACCACCCTCACACCAAAGAATTCCCTCCTCATGTCCAACCTCAATCTCCCTCTGCCAGTTTTAATCCATCCCCCCTTGTCCTCTCCCTCCCTGCCCTTGTCCCAAGTCCCTCCCCAGCTTTCCTGGAGCACCTACAGTTTAATCTATCAAAGCTGCACAGTCCAAGAGCCCTTAAATCTCCTCCCCCAAGCCAGGAGGGGCACCCTGGGCAAGAAATCCTCCTGGACTGTGGAGCTCTGAGAGTTTTAGCTTCATGCCTGATTTGTCCTTCACTTCTGGAGGTGTCATTAAACAGCCACATTTTCTTTTCCTCCATCTGTTGAAAATGAACACCAACCACCCAGGGGCTTTATCTAAATGCTCAGAAGTTTCACTGAGCTTTATATCAACCCAGGTGGGATGGGCTTTCTGTTGGGGGACCCTTGTGGTGGAACCCTGAGGCTGTTTGGTGCAGCTTTCTCCAGCCTGGTGGCCTTGCTGTGTCTGTTCCCCACAGCTCTATGACTTCAGGGCTGCTGAGGAGGCTCCATGTGCTGTGGCCTTTCACCCCAGCCAGCAGGTCCTGGCCTGTGGCTTTGACAGTGGGATGGTGAGAACCTTCAGCTTGGCTGCCTCCCACCTGCTGCTGGAGCACCAGTAAGTGCCTGCAGGGGAACTGGGCTGGGTGTCCTGGCACGAAACACACAACGACTGGGTGGTTCTGGTTGGTGGGGCTGGTAGGGGGCACAGTTTTCCAACCAGTTGGAATGTCCATGGTCCCGGGCAGGTGTGAGGTCCTCTGCCTGTTCCCTGGGTTCTTCACCTTGCTGCTGTTGCCTGGGGGTGGGTTGGTTTGTCCTCCTGCCCTGGTGCATGTTTGGTGGTTCCCCAGGCAGCACCGAGCCCCCGTCGCCGGCCTGACCTTCTCTCCTGATGGCAACTTCATGTTCAGCTCCTGCCTGCAGGGAACCCTGGCTCTGTACAGCTGCAAGGCACAGGAGAGCCACGTCCTGAGGGTCTTGGGTAAGGCTTGGCCTTCTGGGTGGCCTTCCTTTGTTTGGTAGCACAGACAGCCCAGCCCCAAAGCCCAGAACCACGGGATGTTCTGGTTGGAAAAGACCTGTAAGATCATTGAGTCCAACCACCAACCCAACTCTGCCCAGCCCAGTGCTGCCCCACGTCCCTCAGCACCACATCTGCAGGGCTTGGAAGCCCCTCCAGGGATGGGGATTGAACCCCTTCCCTGGGCAGCCTGGGCCAGGGGTTAATGACCCTTCAGGGAAGAAGTTTCTCCCAAGATCCCATCTCAGCCTCCCCTGGTGCAACTTGAGGCCGGTTCCTCTTGTCCCATCCCTTGTTCCTGGGGAGCAGAGCCCAACCCCCCTGGCTCCAACCTCCTCAGCAGCTGCAGAGCCAGCAGGTCTCCCCTCAGCTCCTTGTCTCCAGGCTGGACACCCCCAGCTCCCTCAGCTGCTCCTGCTCACACTTGTGCTCCAGCCTCTTCCCCAGCTCCCTTGCCCTGCTCTGGACACGCTCCAGCCCCTCTGTGTCCTCCTGGTGGTGGGAATCCCCACCCTGCCCCTTGCAGACTCAACCTGTTCAGCCATTTCCTGCTGCACCTTCTCAGCAGTGTCATTGGTGTTGCCACCCTGGGGGAGCAATCCCTAGTGACTGCCATCCCAAACCTTCTCAGCTTGGGCTGTTGCTTCCAGGAGGTGGCTGGAAGGGCAGAGACCAGGTCTGGGGTCAGCAGCACTTTGCCCACGAGCAACAGAAGTGTAAAACCCACCACCCAGATGAACCATGTCCTGAAGTGCCACATCTACATGGGGGTTTTTTTGAGCACCTCCGTGGATGGTGACTCCAACCATCTCCCTGGGCAACCTGTGCCAGGGCCTGATCTTTCTTTTAAGTCAAGAAGTTGTTCCTAAGATCCAATCTGAACCTCTTCACTCTCTTCTGCCTGTGGCCCTCTAGGCAACGTGGTGGCCCGGGATGCTGAGGGTGGTCCAGATGCTCTGGTGGTCAGTGGGGACAGTCACCTCCTGGCCTTTGTGGGCCCCTCCAAGTACGTGGTGACCGTGATGGAGGCCTGCTCTCTGGATGAGGTACCCAGTGGGCTCCCTTCCTTCCTGGGGAGCACGTGCCACAGGGGAACTTCCTGAAGTAGGTGGAAGGGTCTTGGGGAGCAGCAGAGTTGGAGAAGACCCTGCCCTGCCCAGCAGGCCCTTGCTCAGGGTGGTTACAACAAGGTTTGCTTTCTGTTCTGCCAGATGGAAACCACAAAGTCAAGGTTTCTGCTCTTCTGGCTTCATGCCCCTCTAGAAAGATCATGTGGAGAAGTCTTGTGGAGGCTGTCAGCTCCAAGTCCTCTCTGAGAGCTGCTCTCCTGGGCAGCAGGGACATTGCCTGGACCTTGGAGTGGGATGGGGAGGGTTTGGAGGCTTCACAGCTACATGTTAGAAGAGCCACAAGAACAACCCTCAGGCTCCTGCGTTATTTGCTCCTGGGTGTTTCTTCAGTAGCTTCTTTGTTTTCCAGCTGCTGAGGGTGGACATCAGCATCCTGGAATTGAACAGCATGGCCTTGGACTCTGCTGGGAGAGTCTGCTTTGCTCCAGTGCTTCGAGGAGAGCTCCTGGTGTCCACATCTTCCAACAGAATCCTTGTTCTTGACGTCAAAACGGGGCGGCTGATACGGGAGGTAGGACAGGAGGAAGTTCCTGCACTGAGGGCTCGTGTCATGTGGGGCTTGGGCACTTCATGTCACTGTAGGAGGCTAAAGAAGAGATGAACTCATCCTGGAGCTCTCAGGCTTCCAAGAAACACAAGTGACAAGAGCAGAGCTGTCCTGGGATGGTTGTGCCTGAGCTTGTCCTCGTTTTCCGTGCTGTCACACCCCTGTCCTCTTGCTGAAGGAGAAGGACATGAACCAGCTCAGCTAATGCTGCTGGTGCCCTTTCATGTCCTCAGGTGTCCCCCGTGCACAAGCTGTCCTGTTCTTCCTTGATGCTGAGCAGGGATGGCAGGTTCCTGCCGACTGCTGGTGACAAGGTCATCAAGGTGTGGGACTATCAGATGCGCTTCCCTGTCAACTTCCAGGTAATGCCCACAAAGACAGGGAAGGGGGAGGTTGTTGTCCTGCTCCAGCACCTCTGAATCCCTGGAGAAGAGAACAGGAAATGCTCTCTGTGTCGTTTGGCCCAGTGTCCCCAGTCCTGGTTTGCCCAGCAGCAAAGTGGGAGAGGGGAGATTGAGGTTGGACATGAGGAGGGAATTCTTTGGTGTGAGGGTGGTGAGAGCCTGGCCCAGGTTGCCCAGGGAAGCTGTGGCTGCCCCATCCCTGGCAGTGTTGAAGGGCAGGTTGGATGGGGCTTGGAGCAACCTGGGCTGGTGGGAGGTGTCCCTGCCCATGCAGGGGGGTTGGATCTGGATGATCTTGAAGGTCCCTCCTGACCCAAACCATTCCATGATTCCACAATTCCCACCTTGTGATAATGCCCAGCACTGAGCACAGGCCAGGGCTGCTGAAGCCTCCCCACCCAGTGAGACCCTCTGTGAAGGGCAGGTGGGTGCTACCTCTGTGCTGGGGACAGAGCCACCCAGAGAAGCCATCAGCTCCCCCAGGGTGACAAAGATATGGAGAGCAAAGACAAGACGTCAGGGTGGTGAAAATCAGCCCCAGGGTGATCAACCCAAGGTCTGAGCACTGGGGTAGGGAGCAGATCTTCTGCTGAGGGACACAGACACGGGCTCTGCAGGGTGGGGAGAGCCTGGACCAGCATCCTGCAGGGCCAGGGGTGGTGGTGGTGGGCAGGTTCCAGGTGTGTCCCCTCCAGGTGTACATCGGGCACTCGGAGCCGGTGCGCCAGGTGGGCTTCACCCCTGACCAGCAGCAGGTCCTCAGTGTTGGAGATGCCATCTTCCTCTGGGACTTCCTGGCTCTGCCTGAGGAGGAGCCAACCTCAGCCAGGTACCTGCACCATGCTGGGCACTCCTTCCCCTGCCCTGTCCCCTCCCAGTGTGACACTGGTCCCCTTCCCTTTCCAGGCCTTGTTCCTCTGAGTCTTCTCTGCTCCTGGGAGTCAGTGACTTGGTCTCCTCCAGTGAGTTGTGCTGGTTGGCAGCTCCTCCATCCCTGCTCCCCATGGTAGATGACATAGGGTGGGGTCTTTGGTTCCCTCCTCCAGTCAGCTAGTTGTGGGGTTAACCAGCTCATTAGTCCCAAAGAACAGGCTCCAGTTAATTAGCACCTCTTGGTGGGAGTCTGCCCAGGAGGGGACATGCTGAGCTGAGCTGCTCTGGGGTTTCTGGTGGGTCTTCCAGCTTTGGGCTTCTCTCTTTCCCTGCCTCC